CAATCACTGGCATATAGAATATTTGAATCACTGTATTATACACCTGGAACTAATATAACACTATTCAACTATACTGGAATTAAATTAAATGAAAAAAAAAATCACTGGAGAGATACATTTTATTTTTTAATTTTTTAAAACATTTTATTTATTTGAGAGAGAGAGCGCAAGCGAGCACGAGCAGTGGGGAGGGGCAGAGGGTGAAGGAGAAGCTGACTCCCTGCAGCCTGACGTGGGCCTGGATCCCAGGACCCTGAGATCATGAGATCATGGGACCTGAGCTAAAGGCAGCCCCTTAACTGATTGAGGCACCCAGGAGCCCCAAGGAGAGATACATTTTAAGAGAGCTCATTGATTTCACAGTAATAATAAACATCAGATTATCAGAACTGTCCTTTTCCTCAATATTTCTTCATATCCCTCCTGTCTTCTTAGGTTCTCTGTGTCACCTATCTCCTGGTTCCATATTTTTAAATTCTCATTGTATACATATCTTTTTTGAATATGGATTTATTGTGTGCTTTTCCATCTTTATGCAGTTTCTAAATGACTGTGCTCAGCCTCCCCCTTAGCATTGCTTTCACATTCCCTCATATGGTTGACCATGAATCCATCAGGACCCTAAATCGTTAGCAGGATCCATCTGGCTTCAGTTACTGCTTGGTTTTGAAGAAGTGCCCATAAAAACTCTCCAGTTTTATAGAAGAGAGTGACATTATGTGGCAAAGATTATACCTGCACGATTAAGTATGCAGGTGATTTGGGGGGTTGCTCTTTCTTGGAAGCCAAATACTGACAGAACCTAAGTTTACGGATGACTGGATGAGCAACGCCATCATTGCCGGGAGTCAGTTGCTATTTACCAATTCCTACACAGATTACCTAGGAAAAATTCAAAGATAAAGTGCTTCACAAATGAAAGAACACACAAAATCATATCAGGAGGATTGAAATGAATTGTTTCAAGAAAATGTTCGAGGGTGCAGTTTATTACAAATGCAAATAAGCTAGATATATAAAGTGAGAAAACTTCAAATAGAATGTAAATTGGGCTAATCTAACTATAAATCCTTTAACAGTTTTAACTGTAAGTCAATATGAAAAACTAGTTCGTTTCTTCGAGTTTTTGAATTGTGGGTTTAAATCAAGAGAAGAAAAATCTTGAAACTATAAAAAGCACTTAGTTTAGAGGGACTAGAAGGAGTAAGCACTTTTGGATCCAGGTAATAAGATCACCCAGTTTTCTAATATTAAACATTTCACTTCAATATGGAATTAAGCATTTGGGGAAATCATGAGTTAGAGAAAGCAATTTTTATATAAAAAGAAAAAGCCCAAAACAAGCATTAAAAAAAAACTATTACAAATGTAAAACAAAAGAAAAATAGATTTGTATTTATTGATAGTATAATGTACTAACTATACATAAAGTAAACCACTAATTTTATTTTTGAACATATGAATTAATTTGGGGGGAGAATTGAATCTTGGTGAACCCATGAAAATATTCAATCCCTCTATTTTTGAGGGGGTCTTTTTTAGTTTCAGCAATGTTATAAAAATTTTTTTTTAATTTTATTTATTTATTTTGAGAGAGAGAGAGAGGGTGCAAGCCAGGGGAGGGGCAGAGGCATAGGGAGAAGGAGGAAGCGGACTCCCTCTGAGCGGGGAGCCCCACAAAGGGCTTAATCTCAGGACCCTGAGATCATGATGTGAACCGAAATCACGAGTCGGACGCCGACTGAGCCCCCCAGGTACCCCAGCAATGTTATAAAATGTAAGTGTATAGGTCTTGCATATCTTTTGTTAAATTAATTCTAAGTTTCCTATGTTTTTTGATGCTATTACAAATTTGTTTTGCATTTTATTTTCCAATCGTGGTTGTATAGAAACACAATTCATTTTTGTAGACTCACCTTGTGTCCTACAGTTTTGCCAAATCACATATTAATCCTAGTAATCATTTTTCAGATTCCTTAGAATTATGTACCAAAAAATGATTTTTAAGTGAATAAAGACAATTTTAATTCTTCCTCTCTGAGTTTCCTTTTATTTCTTTTTCTTATTGCATTGAATAGGACCTTCAGTACATCCATTACAATAATGAAGTGGCTGTGGGGTGCCTGGCTGGCTCCATCAGTGGAGCGTGTGACTCTTGATCTCAGGGTTGGGGGTTTGGGCCCCACATTGGGTGTAGAGATTACTTAAAAATTAAAAAAGTAATAAAGTGGTTAGAGTGAACAGTCTTGCCTTGTTCCAATATTAGGAGAACTCCCAGTATTTCATGTAAATACTAGCTGTAAAGTTTTTCATTCATCCTCTTTATCAGATTGAAGGAGTTACCTTTAATTCTTAGCTTGCTGAGAATTTTATCATTGGTAGGTGAATTTTGTCAGATTTTTTTCTGTATCGAAACATTTATATGCTTTTTATTCTGTTAATATGGTAAATTACATTAATTGATACTTGAATTTTAAACCAACCTTACATTTCTTGGATAAACCACAATGATCATGGTATATTACCCTTTTTTTTAAAATTTATTTTTCATTATGTTCAGTTAGCCAGCATATAGTACATTGTAAGTTCTTGTTGTAGTGTTCAGCGATTCATTAGTTGTGTATAACACCCAGTGCTCATCCCAACACCTGCCCTCCTTAATACCCATCACCCGGTTACCCCATCCCCCACCCCCCTCCCTTCTGTAACCCTCAATTTGTTTCCCAGAGTCCAGAGTCTCTCATTATTGGTCTCCCTCTCTGATTTCCCATTCAGTTTTCCCTCCCTTCCCCCGTCGTCCTCTGCTCTACTCCTTATGAGTGAAACCATATGATAATTGTCTTTCTCTGCTTGACTTATTTCACTTAGCATAATACCCTCCATCCATCCATGTTGTTCCATCCGTGTTGATGCAAATGGTGGGTATTCATCCTTTCTGATGGCTGAGTAATATTTCATTGTATATATATACACCACATCTTCTTTATCCATTTGCCTGTTGAAGGGCATCTTGGTTCCTTCCATAGTTTGGCTGTTGTGGGCATTGCTGCTATGAACATTGGGGTGCATGTGCCCCTTCTTTTTACTACATCTGTATCTTTGGGGTAAATACCTAGTAGTGCAATTGCTGGATCATATGGTAGCTCTATTTTCAACTTTTTGAGGAACCTCCATACTGTTTTCCAGAGTGGCTGTACCAGCTTGCATTCCCACCAACAGTGCAAGAGAGTTCCCCCTTTTCCACAACCTCGCCAACACTTGTTTTTTTCCTGTCTTGTTAATTTTAGCTGGTGTAAGGTGTATCTCATTGTGGTTTTGATTTGTATTTCCCTGATGACTAGTGATGTTGTACATTTTTTCATGTATCTGTTAGCCATTTGTATGTCTTCTTTGGAGAAGTGTCTGTTCATGTCTTTTGCCTATTTCTTGACTGGATCATTTGTTTTTTGGGTTTTTTTTTTTTTTTTTTAAGATTTTACTTATTTATTTGACAGAGAGAGAGACAGGGTGAGTGGGAGAGGGAGAAGCAGGCTTCCCGCTGAGCAGGAGCCCCATGTGGGTTGATCCCAGGACCCTGGGATCATGACCTGAGCCAAAGGCAGACACTTAACAACTGAGCCACCCAGGCGCCCCTGTTTTTTGAGTGTTGAGTTTGATAAGTTCTTTATAGATTTTGGGTGTCAGCCCTTTATCCGAAATGTCATTTGCGAATATCTTCTCTTATATATATTATCAATTTATTGTTTTGCATCTGTATTCATGAGGCTGATTTTCTTTTCTGGTAATATCTTTGTCAAGTTTTGGTATTAGGGATTTGCTTATTTATTTTTTTTAAATATTTTATTTATTTTTCCACAGAGAGAGAGAGACAGCGAGAGAGGGAACACAAGCAGGGGGAGTGGGAGAGGGAGAAGCAGGCTTCCTGCTGAGCAGGGAGCCCGATGTGGGACTCGATCCCAGGACACTGGGATCATGACCTGAGCTGAAGGCAGACGCTTAATGACTGAGCCACCCAGGCTCCCGGGATTTGCTTATTTAATAAAACAAGTTGGGGAGTATCTCCCTTCTTTTTTCTAGAAAGTATGTATGGCAAGAGTTCTCTTAAGGGAAAATTATATGTGTGTACATCTCATCAGTATGGTTCCTTTCTTTCAGTGATCAAATCCCCTACATTTCTGCCTATTGTTAGTCACTTTTCAATGTCTTTGAACAGTCCTTTTTAATATTTTGTCCAGAGTTAATAATTGTTATCTGTGGGCAAGTTTAGTCCAATATAAGATAGTCCATCATTACTGGAACCAGAGCTCAACAAATTTTATTTTTAAGTGTTGTGAATGTAAAGAGTTTGTAAAGTTTTTCAACAAAAAATTTGAAAGTAATATATCATAGTAACTTTAATGCATAGTGAGTAGTATTACAGAAATCAAAAGAAGTATTCAATGTAAACTGAAAATACGAACAATCAGTATTTTAAGTAAAAAGGAGAATAAACATACAAATGCAGCCAGAAAAATTTTTTAAAAGACATATAAATGGCTCTTTCAGAAGATTAAGGGCAGAATGTAATTATGTATTATCTAAGTAGCAGTCTTCTATTTATTTATTTATTTGACAGAGAGAGAGATAGTGAGAGCAGGAACACAAGCAGGGGGAGTGGGAGAGGGAGAAGCAGACTTCCCGCCGAGCAGGGAGCCCGATGTGGGGCTCGATCCCAGGACTCTGGGATCATGACCTGAGCTGAAGGCAGATGCTTAATGACTGAGCCACCCAGGCGCCCTACCTAAGTAGCAGTCTTAAATAGGAATACATATCTAATCACCAGAAAGGACTTCAGCTGTAAAATCATCTTAGTCCATTGTCTATTGGAAGAATTTCTCCATATGGCCTTAAAAGTTGTATTTTTTTTCTTTACGCAGCATTTTTGACCTTTGTCATTTCTTAGAGAATAAAATGGCAATTTAACCTCCCTTCTGCTTTTACTTTCTTTCTTCTCCTTTTAGTTGTTTGCGTAATTGGCCTTAAATGAGGTGAGAGTGAAGAAACTAGAGCCATCTCTGGAAACCTCGCTACCCCACTCCCCTGGAAGGTACCCTCCGGAGTACTAGATTTGACCATATCTGTTTTGAGGACTCATTATGAACAAAGAAGTCTCCCAGGTGGGAATGTAGCTCTGTTTTTAAAGAACTTTGTCTCTACAAAAAGTATGGAGGGAACATGATTACCTGTTGACTCTTTTTGTTAATGGAAATAATGTGTTTAATTTGAGAGCTTCAAGGTTATTATAAAACATGTGCTGACATTCCTAAAGGAAAATGTTAGAGAAGTTCTATATTATATTACGTTCATAAACCACTTTAATGCATGTTGAAATGAATATAGGATTTATATCAATATTTTACAATGAGACCCTCATTATTGAATTAAAAATGGCAAGCAGAAAAACTATACTGAACCATCCCTAGATTTGACCTATATATTTCTAACATGTATGCAGTCATTAAATCTATATTTGGTGCCCTTTTTTTTTTATATTTGGGAATTTTTACATAGTTTCTAAGAGTTTGTGAGCTGCGTACTTGTACTAGTACTTGTGAATCCATGAACATGATAATGATCACAGCCTGTAGTTAGAAAAATAAACATTCACCAAGCCAGGACAGTAGGTAAAAAGCTGAAGATTAATCAGAAACTGATAAATCAGTAAGTGGAAGACTTCCAGCAGGAAGTTTTTTAAATTAACAGATTATACATTATACAGATAAAACTTACAAATTTTTAAGTGTAGAACTCTTGAGTTATCATGTGCCAAACATATTTGTTAAACAGGTTAAGAAGTAGAACAGTATCAGCATTTCAGAAACTCCCCTCATCCCTGTCCCAGCTGCACACCACCCAGTCACTTTAAAGGAGAAGGTTGTCACCATCAAGAGTAATGGCTGTCACCTTGAAGAGTGGGGTTCAACAATCATAGAAGTTAAAGGCAGTTAAATTTAGTTGGCTGACAAGCAACACCTGTGTTTGGAATAAACAGTGAATTTGGGAGGTGGAAGCGAGACTATTTGTTGGCAGAGAGCTTTAACGCAGGGACTGGAGGTACAGAATGACTTGAGAAGATAATTCATTTGATCCTGCTACTTCTCACTTTAAAATTTCATTGGTTTCTAGAACACACTCCAGATTTCTGGCTTTTATGAACTGGTGATACATTGTATTTATTAACTTATATTTTCTGTTATTTGAAATCAGACTAATTCTCAATAAAGAGAGAGAAGTGAGTTAATAAACTCTTTTGAATATTAAAAAGCCATTTTGCAGAGTAGGATGTATTATAATTCAGAGAAATTTTAATCACATAGGAGAGCCCTCTCTCTAAGAGTTTTCAGGAAGAGAAAGTACCATGACTTTATGAAAGAGAAAGAGAGAGAAAACAGAATGATCTAATGATTGATCTTTGGTGTGGGTGTCTTTTTCTGTAGCTCATTGTTCATTGAGTGACTCTGAGAAAATCCTTTTTCTTCATATCACAATGAAAACTTTTTTCTATTTCCCCTTAACATTTATCAAAAACAATTTTAAACTTGTTACATAGTTGCAAGGTTGGTATGCCCATTGTCCACTTTCACCAGTTGTAAACATTTTGTTATCATTTACTTTCTCTCTTTGTGTATTTACTCCTATTTTTGCTCCTCCTCTCCCACCACCACCACTATGATGACAATGAATCATTTGAGAATAAGTTGTAGACATTTATGATCTTCCACTCCTAAATATTCAATATGTTTCTCCTACTTAACCACAATATAATAATGAAATTCAGGAAACATTTTCATTTTTGTTACTATTTAGTTTATAGTTCATATTAGAATTTTATCAGTCGTCTGATCCAGAATCACACATTGCGCAGTTGTTACAGCTATTTGGTTTCTTAACCCAGAATTCTTTATCAGCTTTTCTTTGTCTTCCATAAAACTGGCATTTTGGAAGAGGACGGGCCACCTGTTTTGTACAGTAGCACTCATTTGGAGCTTGATATGTCTTTCCATCTGTGTTCCTTTCTAAAGAGACTATGATGTGGGACTTTGGAGATTCATAGATTTGTTAACTGAGAACCTTGTCTGGTAGAACAAGGCCTATAAAGATTTTTTTCAGGAGAAAGGCTGTTAAAATCTGGTAGGAGCCCCAGATTCCAAAAGGTAGAATCCTAAAGATGATTTGGATGTTATTGAAAAGAATTTTATATGTGTATGTATACATATAATCTTAAAATCCAAAAATAGGGTTTGTAATGGCAAAATTTTTTATCTTAAAGAAATAGCACATTTACATTTTATTTTTATTATTTTTTTTTAAAGATTTTATTTATTTATTTGACAGAGAGAGAGAAACAGTGAGAGAGGGAATGCAAGCAGGGGGAGTGGGAGAGGGAGAAGCAGGCTTCCCACTGAGCAGGAAGCCCTATGCGGGGCTCGATCACAGGACCCTGGGACCATGACTTGAGCTGAAGGCAGACACTTAACGACTGAGCCACCCAGGCGTCCCGCACATTTACATTTTAAAGTGAATTACATCTTACAGGAAACAGTTGTTTTATATTATAATGGCAAGAGAAGTCAGGATTAGATACATAATCAATTTTATTTATGTGTAATGTTTGGACTAAGAATTGAGAAGACTCTCTGTTCGTGTGTTTGAAATTCTTGTAAATACCACCCAGGTTTCTAGAAGTGGCATAATTTAATGTCAGCTTTTCTGGGAAAACTAAGGAAGAAGGATTTTAGCTTAGAAGCAAAAGCAAAAGTTGGGAATCTATTGTTGGCTTTTCTGCTTATCAGTTATATGACTGTAGTTTAGTTATATAAGTTAAAGCATAGCCAGAATCTGGAACGAACTACCCAAAAATGATTTTTACCTCTACCGCTTGACGAAGTTGAGCAGATTAAATAATGTTTCTGTGCCTTAGTTTCCTCATTTCTAAATGGATTATAGTATTATCCGTCTCATATTTTATGAGTGAAAGAATTAGTAAGGTTTATGAGTAAATAACTTAGATGCTTAGAACAATGATTGGCATATAATAAATCCTATGTAAGTGTTGATCATCATCATTTTCATCATTGTCATCATCATCGTTATCATCATTATCATTGTCAGACAGTACTTTATCAGTAAGATAAAATTGTTGGAACTCAGTGATTCTGTAAGTAGAAATAATAATACATACTTCATAGAGCAGTTGTGAGGAATAAATGAGTTAATACATAGAAAATGCATAAACACTCTCTATATATTATTAAATTGTTATATCTTTTAAATGCATTTTAATAGGCCTCTTTTTTTGTGAACCTTTTTTATTGTTCCTCTCAGATTCTTTGTTACTGACTTCATACTGTGCAAGTGAAAACAGGCAAGATGGGCGTTCTGTGTATTCTTAAGTGGCCTATAGTCAGAAAGTTTGAGAAGCAGTGTACTAGATGACAATTGCTAGGGTTCCTCTGATTCTAAAAGTTTGCATTATTTTCCATTGATTCTGGAATATAACCATTATTTTCATAGTTACTCTGTTGAGAACACTGGAAAGTGAAATTTGACTTTCACTTGTTTAGAGTTACCTTTTGTTGAGCATTGCACTGGAAGGAATATAGCTAGTTCAATTAGTATGATCACTGAGGAAGTGTTAATGCTTTTTGACCAGCTATTCACTTGAAATGCTTGGGGATTTTTTTTTTTTTTTCATGTCCCTTCTGCTGCAGTTGGGGGGATGACCCTGAAATTAACTGGAGGTTTACCTGACTTAATCATTTTCTAGTGCCCTCAAAATATAATTCCATTGTTTTGGCAAATAATTGACATGCAGCTCTATTACTTTGGTACTTCTGTTACCTTTTAACTTTAAGGATCAAATTTTAGTATATTTATTTTTCATTTATTGGTTTATATATGTACATTTAACCATACTGTATTCCGAAATGAGTTTCTGAAATATTTGAGGAAAATTGAACAACTTCTGATCAGGGGCTTAGCCCTTTATTTTAGATATTGGAATATTTAAAGATTTATTTATTTATTTTAGAGAGAGAGAGCATGCGCGCATGCATGTGGGCAGGGGGAGGGGCAAAGGGAGAGGGGGAGAGAGAAACTCAAGCGGACTCCATGCCAAGCACAATCTCATCATCCTGAGATCATGACCTGAGCCAAAACCAAGAGTCAGGTGCTTAACCGACTGAGCCACCCAGGTGCCCCTAGATATTGGAATAATTTTATGTGGTAAATGTGATTTTGGTTTTGGATAATCATCTGTGAATTATCTTTGTCTAATGTTGATCTTCATTCTCTTCTGGCCACAGCTTCTAGCTGATTTTCTGCTCATTAGTATTTGAATCTGAGAGAGGGAAGAGACAGTGAAATTTTTATCACTTAGTTTTGTCTCTCTGATCACCATTTTCATTTTTTAAGGCTGTTACTTTGCTAAACTATTTTTTTTAATTTTTTTTTTTTTAAAGATTTTATTTATTTATTAGAGAGAATGAGAGGGGGGAGGGTCAGAGAGAGAGGCAGACTCCCTGCTGAGCAGGGAGCCCGACGTGGGACTCGATCCTGGGACTCCAGGATCATGACCTGAGCCGAAGGCAGTCGCTTAACCAACTGAGCCACCCAGGCGCCCGCTAAACTATTTTTTTTATAAACTTTTCTCCTGTGCATGTGCAAGTGAATAACACTTATTTTGTTGTTTACACAGTTAGAGAGCTGTGGTCAGGAAGACTGATTTTAATCTCTTTTTTATTTTATTTATTTTAAGAAATACCAATATATTTCCCACAAGTTAGAATGATATAGAACTAATTTTTGGAAGATGTGTACAGTGTATCTACAATTACTCAATGTTGTACAATAACTGGAATCATCCAATTTCATGGATTTGCAAGGAAATGTTGAGGGTTGTTTCTGCCCAGTTGTCTTTTTTTTTTTTTAAAGTTTTTTTTTTTTTTAATTGAGAGAGACAGAGAGAGAGCATGAGAGAGAGGAGGGTCAGAGAGAGAAGCAGACCCCCTGCTGAGCAGGGAGCCCGATGCGGGACTCAATCCCGGGACTCCAGGATCATGACCTGAGCCGAAGGCAGTCGCTTAACCAACTGAGCCACCCAGGCGCCCCTCTGCCC